ATAGCTAGAGCTCAGGAATTGCAGACCAGTCTGGGCAATATAGTGAGGTCCTATCTCTATTTATGAGAAAAAAAATTAGCTGGATGTCATGGCAGGTGCCTGTGGTCCCAGCTGCTCAGGAGGCTTTAGTGGGAGAATCGCTTGAGCCTGGGAGGTCAAGGCTGCAGTGAGCCATGACTGCCACCATGTTCCGGCCTCAGCAACAGAAACATAGGATCACTGCACATCATCTAAATCGCCCATGTTTTTCTTTTTCCTCATCTGGAAGCAGGGACACTGTTCCCCAACACACACACTTCCCAAGGTTGTCAAGAGACTGCCTGAATGTTTGGTAAACTGGGAAGCCCCAGCAGAGATGCTGGAGCCAGGTTATTACCGGCCTGCTGGTTGCCATGATCTTCCAGGCCTGTGTTTCTCTGCCCAGCCAGCAACAAGGCAGGGGGAGGCTCCCAGCTAATCCCGACTTGAATCTCAGCTGTGGGCAGGAGCACCCTGTCTGGAGGCTCCACAGACATCTGTGTAGGTGGAGAACAGGGAAGATGGGGAGGGGAAAGGGCGGGGGGGATGGGGACGGCAGAGATCTTCACCCAAATTTTTGATTCATAGAGCAGAAGCCTTCTCTCTTCTTTTTTTCATTCCTGAAAAGAAAGCTCTTTTCCTCCAAACACAGTCTTCCAACAGCCCCCCGACCCCAGGCCCATAGCTGGCCAGTAATTAGCCCCTAACGAGGAGCAGGTGTCCTGGTAACTTGAGGAGAAGGAAAAACAAGGAACAGGTTGTGGAATCAATGGCTTCACCGCCACTGAGACCAGCCTGGCACAGCCTCCATCCCAGGCCTCCTAGGGTACCCGGATGGAAGCGCTTAGGTTTGCCCAGATCCCCACAGAACAATAGTCATTTGTTTCTTAGTCAACCACAGCAGGCATTTATTGCACACCTACTGTATGCAGCAGCCTCTGGAGGGGAAGGTTCAAGCTTTGCCACAAGGGAGGTGATATGTGTAAAGCTGTATGTAAACCACGAATCACAGGGATGTGCAGGATGACAGAGACAGAGGAGAAAGGATAAGCATTTATTGAGCACCTACTGTATGCCAGGCCCTGGCTAGACACTTGAGGTACATTAAAGCATTTAATCCTCATCAACCCAATTTCACAAATGAGGAAACTGCCACAGAGAGGTGAGGGGACTTCAAGGTTTGACAGCCAAATAGGAGAGCTGGGATTGGAACCCAGGTCTCTGTGGTTTCAAGAGAAACCATAACCCCGTGTGGAACAGACACCATCACATCTCAAAAGTCCTGTCACTCAGCCCGCCAGCGTACAGTCTGGGCTGTGCCCCGCCTCCAGCCCCCGCCCTGGCCCTGGCTTGGGCCCTGCCTATGATGGTCAGACTTGCATCCGCAGGTGAGTGAGGGGCCTGAGACCCCGACCCAGCGTGGATGAACTAGAGGGGTTCCTCAGGGAGGAAAAAAGGACAGGAGGAGCCAGAAGTGGCCCCAGATCGGGAGTCAAACAGGCTGTGCTTCTCCCACCACAGG